TAATTAATATCACATATGCCTGATATATTCAAATTCACTAATTAGGACTGCTTTAAGACACTAGTTCAAGAATATTCACAATTTTAATTTTTGTTTACGTATTTCATTGTAAAGACTAAACATCTGCATATATTTAAATTAAAAGCATTGAAATGATTTATAACATAACTAATTATTAAATAGTTCAAAAAGGAATACGATGAATTAGTAACTTTTATAAAAATGATGAAAATGTCTTTAGAGCTATCTTACAAAGAATGAATGTAGATATGAAGATTATGAAATCTTAATTTTATTAAATTTTGCTGATAAAAATGATAATGGCTTATGTTTAGATATATAAACATTGCTTAAGAAGAAGCAACATTGTTTTAATAGATATTGATGTTAGCCAGTCATGAACCCTTTATTATTATTAGCATATTATTTATAGAACGTATGGATGACAAAGAAGCTATTCTAAAGAATAATATAATTTGATGTTTATAATGATTATGATGTTTATGATAAATATGAACATACTTTTAGAAAAAGATGAAGATTACTTTTATTTAATATATCACTCTTCCTAAAAAAAGCAATTAAACTAGAACAAGACCCTTATGATTGGAAATTAATAAAAATTATATCTTAGTAATTTTTCCCATGTAATACTGTAGTATATGGATGTCTTACTCAATAAAAGTTGATATATATAATTTGATCATTCTATATTAATTAGAGATTTGTGTAAAAGTAATTTTGCATTTTCTTTAGCTCCAGATTACATATAAAATTAAAATATATATATGTTATTTAATTAAAGAATTTGATTAAATTATTTGAATTCTCAAAGGTAATAAGATTTTTAATATAAAAGATAGACAATATTCTAATTTTGATTGCCTTTAATGATAATCAGTTTGATGATTTAATTTGAAATATAAATATATATTAATAATAAAATATTAAGAATATTGAATAACTATAATTTAGGGGATTGAAAAACTCAAAATAAAATAAAGATTTAGAGTTGATCTATGATCTATGATTTTATTATAATTATTTTGTAAAAAGCAAATAAATAATTACATTATTATTAACAATTAAATTTTTTATCTTTACTATAGGTAAATAATTTAGCCTAAGGATATTATGTAAATATGATCAGATTTGGAATGTGGTTTTACAAGATAATATTTCTAATTATAAGGATTACAATTTTCTCTCTACACATGCTATGAATATACTCAATCAAGCATAGAATATTTGCAAGGCCATAATCATCAAGCTTTAAATTTTTAATATTCTTCATTTTTGGTAGAAGTGATTTTGATTTTTATTCATTTTAATTTTCAAGCAGCTGGATGGTCTGAAGAAAAAGACTTTGTAATTTATGGAATTTTTGTTATTTTTAAAGGTTTAAAGGAGGAAGTTAAAGTAGCTTCAGTGATTGAATATTTTAAGAAGATCGATTAATGGACAGGCTTGATGAGGACACTAAAGAATGAGAATATAAAATTTTAAGTTTTGAATAGTCCATTTTGAGTATTGAAAGATGCAGCTAAAACTAAATCTTCCAAAAATAATAAAGAAAGGATTATATGAAATACTAAAAAGTGTAATATCTATGCAATTCAGGATGAATTGGATATTTATTCCACTTTTAAATTAATAAAGTTTAAATACATTTAAAAATCACTTTCCATTGCTAACATTAATTCATTATTTGATATTTCGAAATATAATTATTTCTAAAAATTATACTATTTTAATATTTAGATATAATTGGAACAGCCAATAAACATAATTTAATGATGATGATCTATTTATCATGATATCTCTAATAACTTGAAAGTGGAATTAAGGTATTCAATCTTAAAGATATGTTTTAGAATATGCTGAATTTAGTGATAAGTTTAAAGAGAAGAGAACTAAATTTGTATTATTGAATCTGCTATTGATTATAATTAAGTATCATTATATTCATTCCAAATATAAATAGGTAACAATATCCGATTCTTGATTTTTCCCTTGCCTTCATTGATTATGTACTGATTTTTTGTTCTATTTCTTATAACCTTTTTTTTGGATTTATAAATTAATATTCTTAACGCTAGGATCAGTATTTCAAAAAGTTAACACTTTGAAATTTGTTTTCAAATAATTAAAACAATGAATTCTTTTTCATTGAATTAACTGATGCCTAATCAAAAATTGCTTATTAAATATAATCATATGCCCCATTTTAATTAAAATATAATCAATTATAAATGGAACAAATGCATTCATAGTATATGACTAATATGTTGAGAATTATGCAATACTTTTCACTATTTTAATCATAATTTTTAAATTTAAGTGGCTTAATTAACTAATTTGTTGATTTTGATATACCAAATATAATAAGTCCCAATATTTGCTCAATTAATTCCCAAGAGATTTTCTAACTATCAATTTCTTCATATTCTCAATTTTATTTAAAATATAATTTCAGTTAAGATAATATGATTGATTTTACTAGTATTAATGTTTATTACAATTTTTAAAGTTACTCCTTATGTGATCAAATAAAGTTAGCATATATCAAATTATCGAATTACTAATCAGATTTGATGATTGGATAATTAATGTTATGTGAAGGTAAAATAATCAACGTAAGTGATAGTTGCCCATTTAAACCTTGCCAACCTATTTAGAACATACTTTAAAATAACTAATTTATAATATATTAATCAATAAATGAATTGTCTATTTATAGCAAACAAGAAGCAGATAAATTTTACTTTTTCAAATTAATTTAAGAAATTCCTTACTACATTTTGATT